AATGAGTGCTTATATCAAGCATCTGTGACAGGTGGTACTAGAGTATACTGGAATTAAGTATCTTCTGGTCTCTTCATCTCTCTTCTTCTGACCCCCACCTCAACTATGAACTCCCTGCAGGCTAGCAACTAGCAACACAGGACAAACTTATCTTTCTTAATATTTGTTGAATGAATCAATGAGGGCAAATCTAACATCTTAAAGAAAGGAAGGTAACAATTCATAAAATGGTTACTTACCCTAGATACAGGGCTATGTTTTCCTTGCAAGGATGTTTAATCAAGCGTGCTGGTACAGATGAAAAATACAGGGTTTCCTAGACAGTCACAAAATCTTAATATTAATAATAATAAACACTTTATGAAAACAATGTCCTAATGTGCAACACTGAAAATGTAAAGGTGAAATCTGAATTAAGCAGGTGCATTGTATCAATATCATTTTCCTGTTTTGATATTACACTCTGGTTATGTCAGATGTCACCACTGGGTGAAGGGTACCTGGGACATCTCTAAACTATTTCTGCAACCTGCCGTGAATCTATCATTTCAAAATAAAGAGTGAAAAGATTCACAAGCTAATTCATATCACATCTCATTCCACATATGTTATTGCTTATTTCCAGATTGTTACGGTTATTAGAAAGAGAGGTGAGAGGACAAAGAATTGTAAAGCCAACAGGTTAGAAAGCAGCCACTTTGAGATTATTTAGAAATGCTGACACCTCTTCTGAAATGATGCAATGTCAATAGGCAACTTATTTTAACAAGTAAAATGTTTTTTTCTTCATACATTTTCTTTCATTGAATTTATGGGGATGACGTTGGTTAATAAAATTTATGGGTTTCAGATGTATAATTCTACAATACGTCATCTTCATATTGTATTGTGGGTTCACCACCCCAGTTTCTTCATGCATTTTAGGTACACGTGGGGGGAAAGGAAGTTTCCTGTTGTACTGTGTCATGTAAACAAATAACAGTTTGCTTCCCATGTTATTGCAGATTTGAAAATCTCCTATCAAATAGAACACTGGTGACCTGAGTTCTAAACCCATTTCTATCTCCTGGCTTTGTCCAGGTTACTTGATATTTCTCTACTTTTTTAGTGAAATGGGAAAGAGAAATCCCTTATTTCAAAGAGCAATGGTAAGGATTGATGTTATATGCCTAATACAACACTGGCACCACAAAAAACCTGGGAAATATTCTGATCCAGTGATAAAAGTAAAGAATGAATGTTAAATATGGAGTCACATACCCATTGAGTTTTCTGTGCAATACTGAACATCTTTCCCGTCCTCACTGTGTGAACACTAGAGGTAAGTGACATAAGAGACCATCTGTCAATGTTTATTGAATATTCAGCTTGACTCCTAGCTGACTGGAGTTGCCTCTAGGTTAACTCTGAACTATCTGTTCTTTTCTGGTTATGGGAGCCTCTGGAAAATCTAATGAAACTGGGGGTCCTCCTCTCCCACAAACAGACACATGGATACAGAAAAATGGAGATATTTCCAAGAGCTCATAAAGGTTCATTTGCATTCCCCAGATTAGGAAGATTAGGAGTTCCTACTTCAAGATATTCTTCTTTTTTGGGGGGATGGGTGGGTGTTGGAGTCTGGGAGAATGCTGCTATAGTTTACAGCAGAGGTCCTCAACCTTGGACATACGCCGGAAACTCCTGGAGGGTTTGATAAACTGTAGATGGCTGGGCCCCACCTGTAGATCCAGGGACTTGCAATTGTAACAAATTCCCAGGTCATGCTGTTCCTGCTGATCCAGGACCAAATTTTGAGAACCCGTGTGGGGAAAAGGGAGAATTAGATATAAATCTTTTCAGACTTTGAGACAAATCCTCCTAGTAAATCCTACTGGAAAACCCTACTCCCCACTGTCTAGCTATGTCTTTAGGCAAGTGTGTCTTTAATTTTGCTGGGTGTGTTTTCACAGCCATAAAACAAGGTTAAAGAATCTCTACTCCGTGAACCTTGTCGTAAAGATGAAATGAGGCCATGTACCATAGCACTCATTTACTATTTCATCAGCAAACAGGGCCCTGCTAAATGTGACAGCTTACTTCTGGCAAGAGCTCCCCGAGGACAAGAACCGGGCTTTGTAGCTCCTGTCTAGCTCCTATAGCACTTTGCATAGCCTTCACTAACATAACATTTCCTGAAACCTAATAACGTTCTAGGTATTGAGTGAATAAGATAACCCGCTACACTCTCGTGAGGCTAATATTTCTAGTTACGGCAACAGGCAAGAAAAAAACTATAAAAGAAAAGAATAACAGAAGTTAGTGATTGACAGCAAAAAGCAGATATGAGGAGGGGGGAGTTAAACAAGGAAATATGCTATTTAAGGCGGAATCGGGATCTGATTGATGAGGAAAAAGCCATGGAGAAACCTGGAAGCAAGCATGCCATCAGAGGAAACAGTATGCGCCCATTCTCTCCCACCCCCGAGTTTGTGGTGTTCAAGGGAAGGCTTGGCTGCAGCAGTGACTCCGGTGGGCAGGGGCCAGGCTGGTGGTTGTCAGATCCCCAGGGAACACTGGGCAATGCCCAGGGACATTTCTGATTGATGGTCAAGCCTGGGTGAGTAGGAATTACTGGCATCTAGTGAGCGGAGGTCAGGGATGCTGCTCAACACCCAACAATGCACCACCCTAGAGAATGACCAGGCCCTAAATGTCTGCTCCACTACTGTTGAGAAACCCGGGGGGACGTCACACGAGGAAATGCAGGCTGCTCAAGGAACTCGGGTTTTATTCTGGGTGCCGCAGAGAGCCAGAGAAGGGGAGTGACGAGATCAAATTCGTTTATCAATTTTCCTCTGGCTGCCAGGGTGGGGGGTGGCCAGGAAGGCGCAGCTTAGGGCGGTGGCAGTGGACGTGGCTCGAAGGGTTCGGAGTCCCGCCACAGTTTTGAAGTGACGATGGGAGCACTTGGTGATGGGCTGGAGAGGTCGGGAGGGGGTGAGAAAAAGGGAGGTGTCAAGTTTGATTCCTACAAGAGTGGACTGGGAAGCCTCAATGGGGCTGGAGAGCGAAGCGTCCTTTCGGGATTCCGCCCACGCCCCCCCCG